GATTTACTACAGTAGTGATTGTCTACTGAGATCTCTCGTTAACCCCTGTGCTACAGTGAAAACATTTGAAATATTCTAAAATTTCGCTAGTCTGACACAAGGCTACAAATGTGGGCGCCTAGAGAAATCCGAACTCGCTACTGCAATAATTGTCTACTAAATTCTCTAACCACTGCGTTTAAGTGAAGCAATTTGATAGTTATTAATATTATATTACCCTAGTCTGAGACAAGGCTAAAACAATGGGTGCCCAGAGAATTCTAAACTCTCTCGTTATCATCGACGATACAGCGAAGCCATATTTACTTAACCAAGTTTGACACAAAGCTACCACTGTGGGCGCTCAGAGAACCCAGAACCCATTACTATAGTAATTGTCTGTTGAATTCCCTCACTAAACATTATACTGGGGGGAGGCATTTGATAGTTATTCAAATTAGCCTCGTCTGACACAAGGCTACAACTGTGGGTGTCCAGAGAACCCAGAACTTACTAATGTAATAATTAGCTTCAGAAATCTCACGCTAACCACGATAGTATAACCAAGCCATTTGATATTTACTAAAATTATCCTAGTCTGACACAAGGCTACAGTTGTGGGCACGCAAAGAAACCGGAACTTTATAGGATATAAGCTCCTATATTTTACGGCCAATAAGTGAAGCACAAACAAGAGACGCTTACAAATAAATCTTATTAAATTCAGTAGATACGAAAACTTTTTTTTTTACAATTCTGTACAAACACGGCTCCAAATTAAATAAGTGGTTTCTGGAACCTGATTGGTTAGGACAAGTCACGTGATGTGCTTTAGACGAAGTCCGCACGTTTGAATTTCAAATGACTTGGAAATAGATCAGGGTTCGGGTTACTGAGTATATTCCCGCGCAAAACTCGGGTAGGATTCGTGAGCCGAGCACCGGATGTCAAATAGCGACCGTCCTGGGTATGACGATAAACTACATCATCTTTCTGTGTAAGACGATAAACTACATCCAACAGCAAGGCCTCTGATCAAGAGGTTTTGAGGGATGTGGAACCACCTCCTAATTGCTGGTGTTCCCATGTCCACCCTGACCCGGGGTGGTAGCACCTATTAGGGTCCCAGCTAAAGGCAAATAGTTAACCCCAAACTGGGGACAAACACTATGAAAGCGTAAAAATAGGTTTTAATACCAGTAATACATTAAAAAAAATATTACGAGTAATAAATTTTTAAAGGAAAAAATTATTACCAGCAATACATTTTTGAAAAAAAAATACTATTAGCAATAAAAATCTTTTCGGTATTAATAACCCATTGACGTTGATAAGCCGTAAAGCAAAACAAACGAAACTAAACCAAACAAATAACGATAAAAATGGTTCGTCAGCAACAGTCAGCGAGCAGATTTGCAACGACACATTAATGAAGGACAGTCGCCGAAATGCAGTCAGCGAACAAGACCAGGCCCCGATCAACAACATAGCCACATGTACCATAACAATGAGTCAGTCAGCAATGATTTTTCTACATACAAAAGTAAGTCTTGTCTTTTCCACGACAAAAGTAAGTCTTGTCTCCTCTCTCACGGTGCTTTAAAATTACTGCTATCGCTCGCAATCGGTCAACACATATGTTTCATTAGCGTATGCTTCACCCCCCTACTCACACATATTGGCGTACCATAGTACTTAATTATCTCACTTGCAACAAAACCCCTTTGAAACTTTGCAGACTCACCTGCGACAAATCATTTCGAACAATCGAACCATTGGTTTCTTCATGGCCGCAACAAATAACATTTTGTGTTTTATTTGTGGACACGACTTTCGAATTTTATTTTTCCACCTAAAATCCAGGTAGACTGACCCCACAACTGTAATAATTGGCCGCTGAACTCTCTCGCTAAGCACGTCGTTATATATGACTAAAATTAGCCTAGTCTGACACAAGGCTACAAGTGTGGATGCCACGGGATGATTGAGTTCCTGAAATGTTTATCGACTTAGCTGTCTCGCTAAGCTATTCACTATATTGAAGCCATTTAATATTTACGAAGTCGCAAATATGGACGACGAACTCGTAGCAAATTCATTACTATCTTAGAAAGATTGCGAATTTTATTTGTTTTCCATTCCTCCTTGGCGAATCTGTTTTTCATTAAGCTGTGCCTTTATTAATTCTTCTTGTCTGAAGTCAAAGATGGTAAAGTTATACAAGTGTATAGTTCTATTCTAATGAAAAACTTTTCCCAGGTAAATTTCCCGGTGTAAGGTGAAAATAATTCATTTCTCTACGGATTTATTCACAAAATGAAAAATTAAATTCGGTAAAAAAATAATGTCACCACAAAAAAATCTGCAAATTTGAACCTTCGTTCCCGCAATATGACTTTGTGCCAAAAGGACGTTTTTTTTTATTCTCATGTCACCGCTATTCACTCTTGGACAATGTTCATTGTTTTAAAAAGCGATGATTAGAAATGGAATAAAACTTAAACATATAATGAAAGTGAATTTTATATATATATATATATATATATATATATATATATATATATATATATATATATTTATTTCTAGGGAATTTACAACAAAAATTAAACAGTTTTTATTTATTAGATTGTTAATTTAGAAAAATATATTTCTATTTATAAGCTTCTAAAAATCTACACCCTATAATTGCAAACCAACTAATACAATGCAATGTTTATCATGTATCAATTTATTAAGCAATATATATGAAGCATTTTTTTATTCATAAATTGACAAAAAATTACTAAATAAAAGAATATTAATTCTCTCTGCAATTTTTATTGCTTTAAAAAAAGATGATTAGAATTTTAATAAAACTTCAGTTCATGTTGAATGTGAATTTATATATTTTTTGTTCTTCAGAATTTAATTTACAACAAAATTGAAACACTATTTATTTATTAGATCGTTTATTTATATGGATAATTTTGTATTGACAACATTATAATAATAATTTAATCTTACTTATTATAAAACCCAGTTTGTGTGTGTGTGTCTGTACGCTTATATATTGGATCGGATTTCCTACCGATTTCAACAAAACTTCACAGGACTACGTAAAATTACCTTCTGGTGGTTCTGACAAATTTGGAAAATTGGAAAAACACAATTGTTTTTGCACGAAATCAATTTGAAAACACGATAAGACATGATTCGGTCACCAGAATGAAAGGGGGACAACTCATCTCGAGTTATACTTATTATAAAACCCAGGTTGGTTGTGTGTATGTGTTCGTTTATATATGGGATCGGATTTCCTACATTTTTCAACCGATTTCAACAAAACTTCACATTTTTTTTTTGGCAGGTAGTGTTTCTTATTGTCTTGCACACTTTTTTCTTTATTTTTACATTCAGAATGCTTTAAAAATTCCATTTACAAGACAATTGTTTATAATAAAATTCTATTCAATCGGTAGACTTATAACGATTGAAAACAATGTTTTTCTTTGAGTTTGGGTTTAACCAATTCGTAAAAAAAACAAAAATCAAAAAAACTAATTAAGACATGCGTGTCCGTCAACTTTAAACAATAATCTTTGTCAATTTTATTTTTCAGTCTTTATGATGGTCGATACTTGATCTATCTCTTACTGTTACATCCCCGGGCAACGCCGGGCTCTACTGCTAGTAACTAATACAATGTAATATCTATCATTTACCTATTTATAAAGAAATATATAACCAATTTTTTATTTATAAACATTTACTAAATTATTAAAATATGTGAACCAACTATAAGAAAATCCTTGTTATTTGCCATTTGAAAAATTTTGAATCAATTGGTAATGTTTTGACAATAATTCCAATAAACAGTATAATAAATTGTTTAAATAAACAATTTAATAAATAATGTTTATTATTTTTATTGTCAATTCTCAAGAACAATGTAAAAAGAAGTTGTCTTTTGCTTTTAAATGTAAATAAATCGTTCACTAATTTACAATCACCTGAAGAGATGCATTAATACACATCGAAACACGACTGCAATTGTGTAGCGATTTTGACATGTTTTCGATGTAATATCCTAAAATAAAAGAATATTGCTCTACTTTATATTGAGCTCTCTTTTAAATTAAATGTTACGAACATTGGAATTGGACCCTCTTCGTTCTCATCTTATCTGAACAATGAAAATATATAAATTCACTTTCATATTTTTAGATTTTATTACAGTTCTAATCATGGCTTTTTAAATCATTGCCAAGGAGTGGAAGTAGTTAAAATAATAGCGGTGTCATGGAAAAAACCGTCCTTTTGACACTCCGTTTTTTAAACAACAATGTGAAAATGATGACAAATGGATTTAAACCACTAATAATAATCGCTATTCCCAATACTGTACTAGTTCAAGATATAGCCAGATGTAGGCTAAAAGATTGTCTAGCGCCAATATATTAATAAGGATAATAGGTCTGCTTGTGTTTAAAATCAGCATTCGAAATCCCATTTTTAGGTATTGAGTCTGTTAATTACCACAAAAGGTCAAATGTGTGGAAATATTGATTTAGTTATGTCTGACACAAGGTCAAATAAATGGGGAAGCGAGATTTCAAAATTTCATGTTAACACAAAAATTTGTATATTAATTTGATAACTTATTGTTCTGTTTTTTTTCTATTGTTATATCCATCTCGCTAGGATCAGAGTGTAGTATCTGTTCAGTCCCGAACATGTCTGAACTGGAATCAGTTACGACTTCTGGGTGAGTTGGAATCGATTGATAATTATCGTGCTTAAATAGTGTTTATTATTTTTGTTTTTTAATTCTCAGAAACAAAGAAGATGTATGAATGCACTTTTATCATATGTTTAGGTTTTATTAAAATTCTAATTATCGCTTTTCAAATCAATGAACTTCGCTTAAGAGTGAAGGGAGTTATAATAATAGCGGTGTCAAGGGAAAACGTCCTTTTGGCACTCTGTCGTTTTTTTTTTGTGGGGAGGAGACGAAGTTGGAAGATTGTCGTTTACTAAGTACATCATTCATCCAGATGGAGGAGGAGGAGGAGGAGAAGAAGAAGAAGTGAAGAAAAGATAGAAGCAAAAAGAAGACTGAGGAAGAAGACGAAATAAAAAGAACAGAGAGAGAGAGAGAGAGAGAGAGAGAGAGAGAGAGAGAGAGAAAAGAAGAATGAAGAAGAAAAAGAAGAAAAGATGAAGAAAAAGAAGAAGAAAGAACTGAAGAAGAGATAAAAGTAAAAAGAAGAAGAAATAAAAAGGAGGAGAAAAGAAGAAAAAGAAAAAGAAGAAAAAGAAGAAAGACCTGAAGAAGAGACAGTTAGAAGCAAAAAGAAGAAAGAGAAAGAAGAAGAAATAATAAGAAGGGAGAAGTCCTGAAGAAGAGATAGATAGAAACAAAAAGGAGAAAGAAGAATTAATAATAATAATAATAATAATGAGAAGAAGAAAAAGAAGAAAAAAGACCTGAAGAAGAGTTAGTTAGAAGCAAAAAGAAGAAGAAGAAGAAGAAAGAACTGAAGAAGAGATAGAAGCAAAAAGAAGAAGAAGAAGAAGAAGAAATAAGAAGAAGAAGAAGAAGAAGAAATAAGAAGAAGAAGAAGAAATAATAATAAGAAGAAATAAGAAGAAGAAGAAGAAAAAGAAAAAGAAGAAGAAGAAAGAACTGAAGAAGAGATAGAAGCAAAAAGAAGAAGAAGAAGAAGAAATAAGAAGAAGAAGAAGAAGAAGAAAAAGAAGAAGAAGAAGAAGAAAGAACTGAAGAAGAGATAGAAGCAAAAAGAAGAAGAAGAAGAAGAAGAAGAAGAAATAATAATAATAAGAAGAAATAAGAAGAAGAAGAAGAAGAAAAGAAAAGAAGAAGAAGAAGAAAGAACTGAAGAAGAGATAGAAGCAAAAAGAAGAAGAAGAAGAAGAAGAAGAAGAAGAAGAAATAAGAAGAAGAATAAGAAATAAGAAGAAGAAGAAGAAGAAAAAGAAGAAGAAGAAGAAGAAAGAACTGAAGAAGAGATAGAAGCAAAAAGAAGAAGAAGAAGAAGAAATAAGAAGAAGAAATAAGAAGAAGAAGAAGAAAAAGAAAAAGAAAAAGAAGAAGAAGAAGAAAGAACTGAAGAAGAGATAGAAGCAAAAAGAAGAAGAAGAAGAAGAAGAAGAAGAAAAAGAAGAAGAAGAAGAAGAAGAAAGAACTGAAGAAGAGATAGAAGCAAAAAGAAGAAGAAGAAATAAGAAGAAGAAGAAGAAGAAGAAAAAGAAGAAGAAGAAGAAGAAAGAAGAAGAAGAGAAGAAGCAAAAAGAAGAAGAAGAAGAAGAAATAAGAAGAAGAAGAAGAAGAAGAAGAAGAAGAAGAAGAAGAAGAAAAGAAGAAAGAAGAAAAAAAAAGAAGAAGAAGAAATAAGAAGAAGAAGAAGAAAAAGAAAAGAAGAAGAAGAAGAAAAAGAAGAAGAAGAAGAAGAAAGAACTGAAGAAGAGATAGAAGCAAAAAGAAGAAGAAGAAGAAATAAGAAGAAGAAGAAGAAGAAGAAAAAGAAGAAGAAGAAGAAGAAGAAAGAACTGAAGAAGAGATAGAAGCAAAAAGAAGAAGAAGAAGAAGAAGAAATAATAATAAGAAGGAGATGTTAAGACTAATATTGAAGTATGTACGTAGAAATCTGTTCCACAAAGTTCTCGTTCTTCGGACAAATCTGTGCGAATAGAACCATCTACCTAGGATCAGAGTGTAGTATCTGTCCAGTCCCTAACCTGTCTGAACTGGAATCAGTTACGACTTCTGGGTGGGAAGCTACACCAGCTTTTCTTTGTTGGGATACTGCGCTCTCAATCTATAATAATAATAATAATAATTGTGTAGTCATTGGTAATCTTTAGATGTGTACATGAAATAAGCTTTGGCGTAAAGTTTCGTAAGAACGAAAATACTTTTAATATAACCAAATTTTCTTGAACTCAAGAGTCAAAAGCATATTAGCAGATATGAAAAAGAAGTGAATTAAGGTCTTACTTGATAACTAACATGCTCATACATTATGTTTGTGATGTGGCTTCAGCATATAAGGCAAGAGAAAATGGTAATTTTGATTTCAGCCTTTTCCTTATAAGTTTAATAATAATAATAATGACTAAGAGATCTCGTTTAAATTACCCGGATTTAATAATAATTTCTTCATGCTGCACTCTGTACATTTCAACCGATGACCATTCCTAGATAATTATAAGAAAGATAAGATAGTCTCTTTTAAAAATAATGAAATGTCCTCAACAGATCATTAGGTCACGTAACATGAATTAACTCTTCACTACAAACAACCCCTCACTTTATTTAAGATGACTCCACCTCCAACCCCTCACTTTATCACACTCTCTTTTTATTCTCCCTCTCTTTCTTTTTGCTTTACTCACTATGTCCCTCTCTCTTTCTTTTCCCTCTCAGATGCTCAAAAGAGGCTGGTTTCCCTAAGTCTGTAACAAATTCACAAAAATTAAAAAAAAAAAAAAAAATGAAATATTGGGTCCTGTCACTGGATCTAACAAACGACTTTATCCACTGAGCCATGTGTCCTCGAGGACAAAGAGTGTGAGTTCAGTACCCGGTTAAGGCAGTGGAGAACTTGGGGAGGGGAATTAACAGGAGATAACTGATAAGTGACATCCATTAGACATGGTACGTGGAACTAGAACAGTCTACTCCAGTGAGTGAAATAAAGGGTTCAGTTCGACATTCCAACCACCTGAAGAAGGCCGGAGAGTACAACGGCCGAAACCTTGTAATAAATATGGCGACAAACATGAGGAAATTGTCCGAATAATGTAAATAGTGTACATAATACTTCATCTAAGAAATATAGAAAGATACCGAAGGATGATAAATATAAATGAGGAAAATAGTCCGAAAAATGAGGACAATAGTCCGAATAATGTGGCAACAAAAGATGAGGACAAAATAATGTAAATACTGTACATAATACCTCATCTTAGAAATATAGACAGATACTGAAGAGTGACAAAATATCTGCAACAAAGATGAGGACAAAATTGTCCAAATAATGTAAATAGTGTACATAATGCCCTCATCTCATCTATAGAAATATAGACAGATACTGTAAAGGGTGATAAATATAGCAACAAAGATGAGGACAATAGTCTGAATAATGTAAATAGTGTACATAATACCTGATCTCAGAAATGTAGACAGATACTGAAGGGTGATAAATATGGCGACAAAGATGAGGACAATAGTCCAAATAATGTAAATAGTGTACATAATGCCTCATCTCAGAAATATAGACAGATACTGAAGGGTGATAAATATGGCAACAAAGATGAGGACAATAGTCCGAATAATGTAAATAGTGTATATAATACCTCATCTCAGAAATATAGACAGATACTGAAGGGTGATAAATATGGCGACAAAGATGAGGACAATAGTCTGAATAATGTAAATAGTGTACATAATACCTGATCTCAGAAATATAGACAAATATTAATGTTAATAATATAGTTAAATCATTTGATTTGTATATTAAATTAGCTTTGGTAATTGAAAATATGAAAATAAAATTGATACACTCTAATATCCAATTTTATTTTAAGAAGTTTAAAATCTTGACTGAAATGAAAAAAAATGTCTTGGAAGAATTTAAGAATGGCGATGCTGTAAACCTTTCGTCTGCCTGCCCACCTTGCTATCACTCAGACAGTATCCAAATGCAAGATGTCCAAATAAAGTTATGAACGCGATGTGCGCTCTTTCTCCGTTTTTTCCACATAATGAATCGAAGCCTGTCAAACGCAGAGGTTAACATTTTGTCGGAGATTACTTCGGAAAATTGGTTCTGAGAAATGTCCGTCGAAAAACTGAGTCTAAACATCATGAAATCAAAGGAACGCCTAATTGAGCGACAGGTTTGGAATTTTCCCAGGAAAGATGATGCATGGAAAAAACCGCATTTTCCAAAAGATTGTCGTCGCAGACATTCATACATATAATAGCTCCGTACTGTCAGTAATCACAGGATAAATTCATGACCACGGACAATCCCTTTCTTCCTGATTTTCAATGCATTTTTATAGTAAATTCATTAGTAATGCATTTACATTATACATATAATAGCCCTATTCTATCAGTAATGCTTGCATTCATTCCTGACCACTGACAATCCCTTTCTTCCTGATTTTTAATGCATTTTTATAGTAAAATCATTAGTAATGCATTTACATTATGCATATAATAGCCCTATTCTATAAGTAATGCTTGCATTCATTCCTGACCATTGACAATCCCTTTCTTCCTGATTTTCAATGCATTTTTATAGTAAAATCATTAGCAATGCATTTACATTATACATATAATAGCCCTATTCTATCAGTAATGCTTGCCTTCATTCCTGACCACTGACAATCCCTTTCTTCCTGATTTTTATTGTAAAATTGTTATCAATGTATTTGTTGTGTGTTGAAACATTTCCCGAAATTCGTCATTCTTGTTTTTTTTTGTCATTTGTGTAAGAGAGAGAGAGAGAGAGAGAGAGAGAGAGAGAGAGAGCAACTACCATAAACCGGAAGCTTATTTATTTAGCCGTTGAATAGTTGCGTATTGAATCATTTTTGTTTTTCAGAGCCGATATTCCCGCCTTTCAAATGCGATGGTTTAGTTCTTTCGCGTATAACGTTAAAACGGGGATTGTATCATGTATTTCGTTACGATGCATTGTCTTCTATAACATACCAATCCCTGTCCGGGTGAATAGAAAAAGAAAAGGTTAGGTTAAGAAGAAAGAAAGGCTATAGGCCACACCGTAAGGAGACAAAAATTAATTATTAATTTGGTGCTGGTTGTACCAAGTTAGGCTCACGTGTAACATAATATTTAACGGCGCAGAAAGTGGAATTTTTGAGCTGAGGCCAGTTTCCGTTCTCATCTATTGTCTTCACTTACATCCTTTCGCCCTCCCTCTATGTATTAAATGGCAGGAATGCCTGGACTCTCTAGCCATGGCAAGGTAGTAAGGAGACTTACAGATCAAGTAAAATTCAGAATCTGTGGAGAAGGCAAGGCAAAGACAAACAATATGGTGTGCGGGTGGCGTAAAAATTATCGCCGCGTGAAGTGAAATCAGGGAACCAAGTTTAATTTCCCCCATCGCGTCGGTTGCGTTCACTTTTGTGTTAATGCCCTCAAAACGGCATGCATCCGCCTTCTCTCTCCCCGCCTCGGGTTTAAAAATCAGATTAGATTCAGAAATCTAGCCTTGGTTGGCAGCCATTCTAGGAGAAGGAGTTCCTTTATTCCAAGCTGTGGAGAAGGCAATGGGAATCCACCATCTTTTCCAAAAATACACTTTCATCCACAGATACTAAAATAAGGCAGTCGTGGATAGACATGACCGCTTATGTGGTGAAGGGACATGAATGTAGAAATATGGTGAATACGAAGGTGTGTTTAAAAATAATTTCCAATTTATTCAATTATCTATTCGCCATTATATTCAAATGAATTCTTGCCTCTCACCAGGCATTTCTTCCATGACATTTCAGTAAAATTTCGTAGGTTTTGTTGGGAAAAATGTTTTTGACGATCTCTTAAATTTCCGATACCTTTTGAGTAAAATTCTTTGTCTTTGATGGCAATAATATAAGTACCAGATGGCTATAAAAAGGATTATTTATGACTAATTTCTTTAAATTAGTCACTGACTATTGATTGTGTCACGTGGTAATAATTTTAAGTAAAATGATGCACTGAAATAAGTTTTCTTCTCCTAGGCTAAATAATCGTTTTAAGTTCTCTGAATATCGGTTCAATAAATTTTCGTGTATCAAATTTATTCTTCAAAAAGTAAAGTTACATTTTATTCAATTATATAGTCATCATTATTTGCCACTTATCAGGAAGCACTTCGAAATGAACAGATTGAAAATGATAGAGAGAGAAAGAGAGAAGAGAGAGAGAGAGAGAGAGAGAGAGAGAGAGGAAGAGAAAATGAGTGAGAACAAGAGATGAATAGATAGAGAAGGATAAAGAGGAAGAGATAAAAAGAGAGAGAATAAAAGTGAGAGAGAAAGAGAAAGAGAGAGAGAGATTGATAAACAGACTGAGAATGATAGAGTGAATGAGAGACTGAGAATGATAGAGATATGAACAGGCTAGGAATGCTAAAGAGAGAGAGAGAAAGACAGAGAAAGAGAGATAAACAGACTGGGAATGATAGAGAGAGAGAGAGAGAGAAAGGGAGAGAGAGAGAGAGAAAGGGAGAGAGAGAGAGAGAAAGGGAGAGAGAGAATGAGAGGGAGAGATGAACGGACTGAGAATGATAGAGAGAGTGAATGACAGACTGCGAATGATAGAGAGAGAGATGAACTGACTGCGAATGGTAGAGAGAGAGAGAGAGAGAGATGAACAGACTGGGAATGGTAGAGAGAGAGAGAAAGAGAGAGAGAGATGAACAGACTGGGAATGGTAGAGAGAGAGAGAGAGCGAGAAAGAAAGAGAGAGAAAAGGAGAGAGAGATGAACAGACTGGGAATGGTAGAGAAAGGGAGAGAGAGATGAACAGACTGAGAATGGTAGAGAGAGAAAGAGAAAGGGAGAGAGAGATGAACAGACTGAGAATGGTAGAGAGAAAGAGAGAGAAAGGGAGAGAGAGATGACCAGGTGGGAATGGTAGAGAGAGAGAGAAATGGAGAGAGAGATGAACAGACTGGGAATGGTAGAGAGAGAGAGAGAGAGAGAGGGAGAGAGAGATGAACAATGGTAGAGAGAGAGAGAGAGAGAGAGACAGAGATGAACAGACTGAGAATGGTAGGGAGAGAGAGAGAAAGGGAGAGAGAGAGATGAACAGACTGGGAATGGTAGAGATAGAGAGAGAGAGAGAGAGAGAGAGAGAGAAAGAAAGAGAGAGAAAGGGAGAGAGAGAGATGAACAGACTGGGAATGGTAGAGAGAGAGAGAAAAAGGGAGAGAGAGAGGAACAGACTGAGAATGGTAGAGAGAGAGAGAGAGCGAAAGGGAGAGAGAGATGAACAGATTGGGAATGGTAGAGAGAGAGAGAGAGAAAGAAAGAGAGAGAAAGGGAGAGAGAGAGATGAACAGACTGGGAATGGTAGAGAGAGAGAGAGAGAAAGGGAGAGAGATGAACAATGGTAGAGAGAGAGAGAGAGAAAGGGAGAGAGAGATGAACAGACTGGGAATGGTAGAGAGAGAGAGAGAAAGAAAGAGAGAGAAAGGGAGAGAGAGAGAGATGAACAGACTGGGAATGGTAGAGAGAGAGAGAGAGAAAGGGAGAGAGAGATGAACAGACTGAGAATGGTAGAGAGAGAGAGAACGAACGGGAGAGAGAGATGAACAGATTGAGAATGGTAGAGAGAGAGTGAGTAAGGGAGAGAGAGATGAACAGACTGAGAATGGTAGAGAGAGAGAGAGAGAAAGGGAGAGAGAGATGACCAGGTGGGAATGGTAGAGAGAGAGAGATAAATGGAGAGAGAGATGAACAGACTTGGAATGGTATAGAGAGAGAGAGAGAGAAAGTGAGAGAGAGATGAACAGACTGGGAATGGTAGAGGGAGAGAGATAGAGAGAGAGAATTTTGTTCTTTACTTCTTGAAGAATAAAGTTGATTCACGAAAACATAAATAATTATGACACCTCGACAATTACAGACCTTAAAACAATTACTTGGTTATAGACTGGGTCCTTGGTTGGCAACCAGTATAGGAGAAAGAAATTTTGAATTCAAAACCACCTGCTGCCTTGTAGAAGGTAAATTCAAAGACAAATCCACTTCTGAGACGCGGGAACCAGCAAGCCATTTCAGTATTCTGCCTGGAATGTCGTCATGAGCACCAATTGTGGTATGGGGGGGGAGGAGGGAGTGGTGATTACACCGGCGCTAATTGAATAAAATGATTGAATAAAGTTGATATCATGAAGCGTGTAGCCGGAAGGGAGTTCCACAAGCGAGAAGTGCGAGAAAAGGAACAGTTAGCATATTCGATATATGACTGACGAAGCAGATTTTTCCTGTAGTAGGTTGCCATTTCTTTCTTCGATAGACCAGTTGCCATCCATGACTATAGAACTCGGTCTGTCCTGCTGGGGGTGGAGGGAGGAGAAGAAGAGTATTCATACTTTTCCCAAGGGCATTAACACGTAAGTGAATGTAATGAATTCGACTGGAATTCGAACCCGGATCTCCGATTCCTCACTCCCAGCCGCTATCCATTAATCCATCGGCCAGCATAGCTCAGTCGGTAGAGCATCATAAAGAGGATTCATATAAGCAATCTGGTGATAAGCTTAGTAAATAGTAAATATCTACATAAGGGAGACTGATATAGAGTAATGGTTAACGAGCTAGTCTCACAGACCATCGCTAGTGTAGAGAGTTTGATCCTCACTGGGTGCCTCACTATTATGGCCTTGTGCTAAGCCAAGTAAATATCTATACAGGTAGAATGACATAGAGCAATGGTTAACGAGTCAGACACACAGACAATTGCTACTGTAGCGAGTTTGAACCTCACTGAGTGCTCAACTATTATGGCCTTGTGCTAAGCTAGGTAAATATCTATACTGGTAGACTGACATAGAGCAATGGTTAACGAGCTAGTCTCACGGCCCATCGCTATTGTAGAGAGTTTGATCCTCACTGGGTGCCTCACTATTATGGCCGTGTGCTAAGCCAAGTAAATATCTATACAGCTATACTGACATAGCGCAATGGTTAACGAGTCAGACGAACAGACAATTGCTAGTGTAGAGAGTTTGATCCTCACTGGGTGCCTCACTATTATGGCCTTGTGCTAAGCCAAGTAAATATCTATACAGGTAGAATGACATAGAGCAATGGTTAACGAGCTAGTCTCACAGGCCATCGCTATTGTAGAGAGTTTGATCCTCACTGGGTGCCTCACTATTATGGCCTTGTGCTAAGCCAAGTAAATATCTATACAGGTAGAATGACATAGAGCAATGGTTAACGAGTCAGATGCACGGACAATTGCTACTGTAGCGAGTTTGAACCTCACTGAGTGCTCAACTATTATGGCCTTGTGCTAAGCTAGGTAAATATCTATACTGGTAGACTGACATAGAGCAATGGTTAACGAGCTAGTCTCACAGGCCATCGCTATTGTAGAGAGTTTGATCCTCACTGGGTGCCTCACTATTATGGCCTTGTGCTAAGCCAAGTAAATATCTATACAGGTAGAATGACATAGAGCAATGGTTAACGAGTCAGACGCACAGACAATTACTACTGTAGCGAGTTTGAACCTCACTGAGTGCTCAACTATTATGGCCTTGTGCTAAGCTAGGTAAATATCTATACTGGTAGACTGACATAGAGCAATGATTAACGAGCTAGTTTAACAGAGCATCGCTAGTGTAGAGAGTTTGATCCTCACTGAGTGCCCAACTATTATGGCCTTGTGCTAAGCTTCAGTCAGTTATGTGTCATGCGTGACACATGCTTAGGTGATCATCTATCTTTTGATACATCATTGATGAAGCAGATTTTTCCAGTAGTAGGTTGCTATTTCTTTCTGGGGTTAGACCAGTTGCCATCCAAGTCTCCTGCTATTTACTCATAGCTAGAGGGAGAAGAAGAGGATTCATGCCTTTCCCAAGGTTCTTCGTCGTCGTCGTCTTCTTCTTCTTCTTCGTTTCTTCTTCTTCGTTTTTTTTTCTTCTTCATTTTTTTCTTCTTCTTCGTTTCTTCTTCTTCATTTTCTTCTTCTTCTTCAATCGAGACTCACAAGACTTTTTAAAGAGCGTGTCTTACTAGACTTTGAGGAACTCATCGTGCATTTGGTTTCAATGAAATTTCGAAAAATGCACTTTTTAAGCTGCTTTGGAACTGGTTTTAATCTTCGGTTGTTTTTCAATAAAATACCGATTCGTAATTTCGCTCTCTACTTTTTTAAAGAAGCCTAACCCCCCAAAGGTATTTTCTTGAGGCCCCTCGGGTTTCGAGGGGGCGCCATTGTATGTAAGATAGATTCGCACGACACAGTGGACCAAACTTAATGACCAGCTGACTTAGCAATTATGTAATTTTGATATAAAACGTTTCGGCGTAGAAACAAAAATTTTCACAGCATCAGTCTCATGACCGAGTGTGGTCGAAGGGTTGCTGCGCAGCTAAGCATTTGACTGGCTCCCTCCATAAGTCTCCGTGTATTAGTCGACACAGAGACGTTAACAGGCTATTTTTCCATCACTCTGCCTGTTCTTTTGCCTAAACTGATAGCTCGTAGGATGGCAGTTGGAAGAGTGTTGCGTCTTATAACGTGTCTGTATTACTTGAACTTTCCCTTCTTGTGCCTCTTTCTTGTCTGATGGTATCTGTCGCTGCACGATCTGTGATACGGTCTACGAGGGTTCCGTAGCATCTCATTTCAAATACTTGGATGCTTCTCTGCAGTTCAATGGAATAGAATTCACTCGCAATGACAAACCGGTAATAAGAAAACGGGAAAAAGAAACTCACCCCAGCCGAGCAAATAACAGAGCCGGACAGTGATCTGTCCGGACACAAACGTCCTCACGATCATCGTGTAGAGGTAGACGCCTTCACATAACATCCAAGAAAAGTTGCTCAATAATGTGTATTGGGCCAGAACGTGAAGGCATTTGCAAATCAACTAAAACAAAAGAGAAAATAGAAGATGAAAAGATTATTGAAATTAAGAACAAAAAAAAACCCCAAAAAAAAACAAAAACAAAAAATCATTGCGGAAAGAAAAGAAAAAAAAGAAAAAAGATAACTGGTAATCTCATAGGAGTTGAGGGGAAATCCCAACAGGAATCTATCTATCTATCTATATTGCGATGTTAGTCTCTCTTTCAGTCTCTATCCCTCTCTATCTATCTCAGTCTCTTTATATCTATCTATGTTAGTCTCTCTCTCAATCTCTCTCTCTCTCTCTATCTATCTATCTATCTATCTGTGTTAGTCTCTCTCAATCTCCCCGTCTATCTATCTATCTATCTATCTATCTATCTTAGTCTCTATCTTTATCTCAGTCTCTATCTATCTTTCTCAATATCTATCTATCTATCTATCTATCTATCTATGCCAGTCTCTCTGTATATCTATCTATCTATCTATCTATCTATCTATCTATCTATCTATCTATCTATCTATGTTAGTCTCTTTCTCAATCTCTGTGTGTCTATCTCAGTATCTATCTATCTATCTATCTATCTATCTATCTATCTATCTATCTATCAGTCTCTTTATATCTATCTATCTATCTATCTATCTATCTATGTTAGTCTCTTTCTCAATCTCTCTCTCTCTCTATCTATCTATCTATCTATCAGTCTCTTTATATCTATCTATCTATCTATCTATCTATCTATCTATGTTAGTCTCTTTCTCAATCTCTCTCTGTACCTATCTATCTATCTATCTATCTATATATCTATCTATCTATCTATCTATGTCTCTTTCTCAATCTCTCTCTGTGTCTATCTATCTATCTATCTATCTATCTATCTATCTATCTATCTATCTATCTTTCTCAATCTCTCTCTGTGTCTATCTATCTATCTATCTATCTATCTATCTATCTATCTATCTATATCTATCTATCTATCTATCTATCTATCTATCTATGTTAGTCTCTTTCTCAATCTCTCTCTCTCTCTCTCTATCTATCTATCTATCTATCTATCTATCTATTTCACTCTGTTCATATCTATTTATCTGACGCATCTCCACTCACTGTTAAGGCCCAGAAAAACGGCGCATTGGTGCCACATGCATTGAGCGAGAGAAACAACTAGGCTGGGGGTCAAGCTAGTTTACTAGCTTGACCACCAGCCTTATTATGGATAGAAAGAAAGAGCTCGGTTAGGAAGTTCTGCCGCACACGCCATATTCTCCATCAAACTTCTACATCTTTCGCCTTTTGACACTTTAAGGGGTGTTTCATTCAACAACAATGTTGAGCTTAGAACGTGGCTTGAGGAATTTTTCCAGTCCAAACTTAGTGATTTCTATCATCGAAGCATTGAACAGTCAGTGGCAGGAAGTCGTAAATAAGGAAGGAGTGTACATTGTTGAAAGATTCCTCAGAACTATTAATAAAAACTATTAGCCTAGAACTTACTGTGAATTGATCAGACCTTGTTGCCAATCTCGTACTGTACTGAAATATATAAAGTCCATGAAAGCATTTACAGAAAAGGCAGAGGAAGTTTTCATTACGGCGGAGGGAAATTGACTAAAGCCGAGATGCTAGGTCAGGACCAATAATATTACAAATGTGGCAATACTATTCAAAGCAAAGGCAATTGGTAGACTTATAACTATATAGCGAGTAACCTACCTAAGGGGCTTGTGTAAATGGATGGCAGAACATGGACTGGTAAGAATAGTAAAAAGACAAACATTGCTAAGACCTACAAAGGATAGGACATTGTGGAGAGACATGTCCTGAAGGGGAAGAGGGAAACAGCGAATAACCTACATAAAGAGCTTGTGTAGATGGATGGCTGAACATGGACTGGTAAGGATAGCAAAAAGACAAACATTGCTAAGAGCTACAAAGGATAGGACGTTGTGGAGAGACATGTCCTGAAGGGGAAGAGGGAAACAGCGAATAACCTACATAAAGCAAAAAGACAAACATTGCTAAAGCTACAAAGGATGTGTAGATGGATGGCTGAACATGGACTGGTAAGGATAGCAAAAAGACAAACATTGCTAAGAGCTACAAAGGATAGGACGTTGTGGAGAGACATGTCCTGAAGGGGAAGAGGGAAACAGCGAATAACCTACATAAAGAGCTTGTGTAGATGGATGGCTGAACATGGACTGGTAAGGATAGCAAAAAGACAAACATTGCTAAAGCTACAAAGGATAGGACGTTGTGGAGAGACATGATCTGAAGGGGTAGAGGGAAACAGCGAATAACCTACATAAAGAGCTTTTCTAAATGGATGATTGAATATGGACTGGTAAGGATAGTAAAAGTTAAACATTGCTAAAAGATGTGAAGGATAGAATTCTCTGTATTGAGGCAACAATTTTATCTTTAAGACAAATGTTATTTAAAACGACAGACATTTTGTGGCGAATAATTTTAACGATCCATTTTTCCAACTTACGAATAATACTCCTCAGAAATTGTCCGCAGTTCATTTCGGATGAAAAGTACATGAAATATTGTCTAAGTTTTCAATATTCTTATGTCTTTATCAGGGTAGGTAGAGACAATTTGGGAGTTTAGT